TCATCATCTAAACCTGTTTTACGTTATGCAGCTGTTCGAACACTTAATAAAGTTTGTTTTATACATTTTACATAACCAAAATATAGAATTCTCTTGAAATTTAAAGGTTGCTATTCAATATCCAGCAGCTATAACAGCTTGTAATGTTGATCTTGAAACATTAATTACTGATTCAAATCGATCAATTGCAACATTAGCTATAACAACTCTTCTTAAAGTATTTTTATTTTAATTAAATAATTTCATTTGTTTTTCTTTTTTGTAGACGGGTAATGAAGTAGGTGTTGATCGATTAATGAAACAAATCTCATCATTTTTATCTGAAATATCAGATCAATTTAAAACAGTTGTTGTTGATGTAATTAAGTAAGAGATAATCACAAAAAAAAAATTTTTTTTTCTTATCATTAAATTGAATATTTCAAAGATCATTATGTCAAAAATTTCCACGTAAACATACTGTATTAATGACATTGCTTTCAAATATGTTACGTGAAGAAGGTGATTATGAATATAAAAAGGCAATTGTTAATACAATTATTTCAATTGTTGAAGAAAATCCTGAAGCAAAAGAAGCAGGTAAAAACTAAATAATCGGATTTTAATTTTTTTTGTATATGGATTTTATTTAAAAAGTTTGCCTCATTTATGTGAATTTATCGAAGATTGTGAACATACATCATTAGCTACTCGTATTATTCATTTATTGGGTCGTGAAGGATCACGTACAACAACACCAGCAAAATATATTCGTTATATTTATAATCGTGTTATTCTTGAAAACGCACCTGTTCGAGCTGGTAACACTTTTCTTTTTTTTTTTGTATTTATTTATTTCTAATTAATTAATGTTGTAGCTGCTGTAAGTGCATTAGCTAAATTTGGTACAGCTTCAGAAGATTTATTACCAAATATTTTGGTACTTTTACAACGAACAACACTCGATCAAGATGATGGAGTACGTGATCGTGCTATAAAGCACTTAATTCAGCTTATATTCTCAATTGTAAGTATAACAAATTAAATTAAATTAAATATTTTAATATAGCAATGAATGTAT